CTAGGCCAAAAAGAGGAGCGAAAAGGGGGTCGGATCCAGCGCGATGCCCAATCGAGACGAACAAGGCCTGACCCGCAGCAGTCGCAGGGAGATAGGGAGATAGGTGTAGAGGTAGGGCATACTCTAAGATAATAAGCCTGCTAACCTATATTAGAGCGGACAGAAACAGTGTATAGTTGTAGGCGGTACAGTAGGCTAGCTCTTAGGGGTAGATGCCTAGCACACTAGAAAAGTAGACAACAGCCTTCTCTTCTATTTAACTATCTGTAGAGACATTAGTCTAGAATTAAACAAGAAGTTAGAACACAGCCTCTAGGAGTTAGGCAGGGACAGCCTTAATATTACTTAACTCTACTAGATAGGTAATCTCTCCCTACACATACTTTATTATTTACCTTTAGGCAGCTGTAATTCTAAGTCTATAGATCTTTTATATGCTCTGCTTTAAGTTAAAGTAAAGCCTTTATAAATAGAACACATAATAAAGGAAGTAACTTAGGTAGAAGTAATACCTCTATTACGTCTAGCACTGCTGCAGAAGTGTAAAAGGATATGCATAGTAATAGCCCTAGCTCTATAGCTAGCAACATAGCACCTGTAGGGTGTGTTTTAGAGTTTTCTTACATTACTTTATTACTAGGCTTATTATCTTAATAAGTTTCTAAAGATTAGCCTTTATAGCTAATAGACTTACTTATTTTATATAATTTTATAAACTAAGGTAATAGTCTTTACTACATAGTAATAAAATCCTAGCTATAAAAGTAATAAAATAAAGTAGTTTATAAGTAAACTAGTGTAGCTAGCTACATTTTTATAGCTAGTTAGTATTCTTATTATGTTTAAGCTTTTTAGCTATAGTTATTTTTATTTGTTTTATATAAGCTAACTAGGCTTTTTCTTTTACTTTTATCTTAAGAATTACATTAAGTTTAGAATTGCTAGTAGCCTCTAGAGTCTCTATTCTATCTCTACTATTCTGCTGCTGTAGGCCTCTAGACTGCTCTACTTAGGCTATTAGCCTTATGCTAGTTGCATCTACTTACTAGTATTAATATAAAAAATTTAACTTTAGTAAAGCTTATTTCTAAAAAAAGCACTCTGCTACTACTTACTTAGCTAGTGTTTAGCTTTTATTATAAACTTTTTTTAAGTGCTATTAGTACATATTATAGTTAATTATCTTAAAGAAGCATTAGTAAGCAAATCTTTACGCTAGCAGTGTAAGGAACTTAAGTAGGGGTAAACTATCTAGAAGTAGTTTTATGTCCTTATTAGATTATAAAACAGAGAGGTTATTATACCTAGCTACTATAGCACTACAATGCAGCTCTTAGATATGGTGGTGTAACAGTAAGTGTGTGTAGAGCTGCAGGAGCAGGAGCGCAGTTCTGCATAGAGCGCAGAGGAGGTGGCTGTATTTAGAAAGATATTAAATTAGCAATTCTGTATAGGCAGCTGCAATAGCAGGCCTATTCTAAAAGCACTATTATTTAAGTAAGCAGAGGGCATAGAGAGACAAGAGTAGTAATAGCATAGCTATACTTACTTCTAGAGCAGCCCTTAACGCAAGTCTATAGTATATACTATCTATTTAAGAGGCATTATAGTAGATATTGTTAAGAAAGATGCACTCTAAATAGGTTTCTCTTACTCTTTACATTTACACCTGCGTCTTAGCAATAGCTAGGGGAATAAGAGAGAAAGCAGCTATCTTTTACATAAAGAAGCAATTATACGCTATACTGTAATAGGTAGCGCTATAGTTAAGTCTACTAATCTAGGCTAAAAAGAGGAGCGAAAAGGGGGTTGGATCCAGCGCGATGCCCAATCGAGACGAACAAGGCCTGACCCGCAGCAGTCGCAGGGAGATAAGTAAAAGGTCCGGTCTTGGACTCCAGCTACTCGACAGGGGAGCCCTGGCCGCGCTAGAGCAGCTCGGGGTATTGATATATGTACTGTGTCTTATCAACTCTGCTAGGGTACACAGGGATTGAGACAACAACTCAGGGCTAGGTCGTAGGCGTGACTGCATGCGGGTGCACCTTCAGCCTAGGCACTGTTGTCAACCAACACAGCTGTGCCGCAATGAAATATCGCTGGCAAAATACTCGTCTTTCTGCTTGTGTCCGGAGAACGCAAGCACCGCACTCTGCACGAAAACCCCCATTCTGGTTTCTCCTAAGCTCAACCTCTAAGCCTTGTTCTCCAAGTACCATTAGCGTCAGGTACATCGGAAGTATGGTGTCGACCACCCGCATCGCCGCTCTCGCCAAGGAGATTGAGGCACAGACAACCAAGCTCGACAAGTTCTTCGCTGAGAGCCAGATGCCCCCGCCTTCATTCGACGAGGATGCCCCATCGATGTATCCGTTTCCCCCGGACGTTGCAGAAGCCCAAGAGGCCTTGTTGGAAGCCGTGGACGAGCTATGGTGGCTCCACCAGGGGCCGATTCAAACCATCGTCGCTAAGTCGGTATGTCATGAGTGACTTGTTGTTGATAGGCAATGTGTTGAACCTGGACAGTTAGCCACATCCGTCGGCCTAAAGACCATTCTCAAATACAACATCCAAAACCTTGTCCCGTTCGAGACCGGGACCACCTTCAACGAGCTTGCCGAAAAGACCGGCATCCCTGAGAAGAAGCTTACACGTCTGTTGAGACATGGCATAACCGAGCACTTCTTCCGCGAGACGCAGCCGGGTCACATAAAGCATACAGCTGCAACCAAGGCGCTTGCTGTCATGCCCGCTCTCGCAACGTGGTCTGAGATGGGGATGTATGATGTTGGACCAGCCAAAACTCGTGTAGGTTCGGGCACACATGCCACGTGACGGATGCTTACTATAGTAGATAGTTGATGCGATTGCGAAATGGCCCGACTCCGATGAGCCAAATCACTCAGTAAGCGCGCTTCCCGTGTGCATGAAGGACCCACTAACGTGTACTGTGTCCAGGGTTTCCAAATCGCCAACGACACAGACAAGGCTATGTTCGATTTCTTCGAGGATCACCCTGCGCGCATGAACCGCTTTAAAGATGCCATGAGCTTCCTTCAAAAATTTCCAGGCCTAGAGCCCTCCTACACCGTCAAGGCCTACGACTGGGCCTCTTTAGGAAAAGCCACCGTGGTGGACATTGGTGGGTCGCACGGCCTCGTGTCCATCGCGCTTGCGAAAGAATTCCCAGATCTCCAATTCGTAGTGCAGGACCTTCTCAAGGTTATTGAAGATGCAAAGACTAAAGCGCCAGCTGAACTTTCAGACCGTTTGATATTCCAGGCCCACAACTTCTTCGAAGAGCAGCCTGTGAAGAATGCTGACATTTACTTCTTCCGCTGGATTCTCCACGACTGGTCCGACAAATACTGTATCAAGATCATCCGGGCGCTGATTCCCGCCCTCAAGCCAGGCGCTCGCCTTTTGTTCAGCGAGCGATGCCTCGAGCCGCCTTGCACACTGCCCCTTCGCGCGGAGAAGTGGAACAGGTAGGTGCCATACACAACTGTTCTCGTGACTGGTCATTGCTTGTGTGAGTGCCACTGACACGCATAGGGACTCGGACATTACTATGCTGGCCACGTCCAACTCCCAGGAGCGCGATGAGGACGACTGGAAGGCCTTGTTCAAGGCCGCAGACTCAAACATCACTCTTGAGGAAGTCAGGAGGACACCAGGTGCGAAGCTAGACTTGATTGTCGCCAGGTGGAAGTGATATTTCTTCAGCGTTGCCGTGATGATCAAGCACCAAAAGTCACAAGGATGCTGTGGAAGCGTGGTAGAATTCCGAATGGGGGGGGTCGATCATCTCACAGAGCCACTTTGCTGCTTCTTCACTCGGTTCTCGTAATAGTGTAGCAGCTGCATAGAATGATAAGAGGATGACTTCAACCAACCGCCTACTGCCTGTATGAGCATTTGAAGCGTCTATCTGACGCGCACGTCGCCACGCCACGAGAGCCACGTTAGCATGCCGGTCATGCGATCTTGTCTAGAGATTGCTTGTACAACGTGAGATGGTTTCTAGCTAGCTTTTCAACGGTACCAGTGAAAGGGACAATTACCCTATCTTGCCCCGCGGCACAATCCTGAACGGCATATGCACTTTTGGATAAATTCCGTGCCCAAACCCCATGCCTTCATAAAGCGCCCTCGTCGCCCGCTCCCGTGTTCGTTCCTCCAACCACGCCGTCCCATGCCCCGTCGGCCCCTCCGCCTCCAGCACATCGGCCGGATCCGCCTCGAGCCGCAGCGAAAACTGGCTGAACACTTTATGTTAGTAACAGCCTTTAGTTAGGCGCCTATAAGGCGCGTTTAAAGCGTTAATTAAGGCGTGTTATATAGAGCTGTAACACAATTAATAGACAAATCTGGGTAACTTTAAAGGAGAGAGGCAGCTAGAATTAATCCGGCTTTTTTGCAAGCTAATTAGAGCTGTAGCTGTGGTAGTAGAGGCATCTTGGTAGAGAGAGACACGTTGATTTTAGTGGGCTGCTGGATGAGTGGTGTGGCCAGGTGAGCCGTGGATTACGTTAAGCAACTTAGGTGTGTAAGCAACTTGCCTATAGTGTATGTTAATTTAGCTAGGGGGAGAGGGGCAGCTAAATACTTAGAGATATAGGTAGCGCAAGGGGCAGGGTAGAGCTGGGGCAGATACGTGGAGCCTTTAAATATAGGTGTGTTAGGTAACTTTAAAAAGAACAATTTATGTAAATTGTTGCAGTTAATATTTAATTTATAAATGCATTATTAATTAATCTATAAGGTGCTAAAATTGAGGTAGAGGAGACTGTTTCCATGTGTAGACTTCTTGCTTGTGAAATACGTTAAATAAATTAATTTAATTTGTCGCCTAAAGGAGGTGCGGAGAATATTCAGCGCGATTTGCAAATCGTGGAACAATTAAGACAAACGTTGTACAGCATTTGAGATGTACGCGCATTTACGCCTTGATGTGTGAATGAATTTTATCGCTTCTACGTCATTGTTCATATGGGCTCACAATTTGAAGAGGAATATCGAAGAAAGAGTTCCGATCCACGCAGGACCGATTAAATCAGTAATTCTCCATCTAGAACGGATTCTGCCAGTTTGGCCGATTATTCTGCCACTCATTATCCAATGCATCGATCTTGCCAATCAGCGCCCTGGCCGCAATGATCAAAGGATCATTCGGATCTCCATCAGCAGCAACCTGTCTCTGGACATCGCTCGCATATCCATCCTTTAATCGCTCCAAGTACGTCTCAATATAGGTCTCGGCCTTCACACGCGCTTCATTGGCACGCCCACGAATCCATGTGTTCCATCGGGTTTGGAGACCCACGGGCTGCCATCTTCCAAAGTTCTTCCCTCGTCCCACTACTTGCACTTGCGGTATCAATACGGTATCGAGCCGATTCATCATATTCCCGACACGGTTCTTCTGGTCGACAAGACGTTGGTTGACGGTCGGATCCATGTGATAGCGGAGGACTGAGATGACATCCTTGATGTTCTTGAATGCTTTGTCTGGTTCGGCGCCGAGGTATTCTTGCATCGTGAAGTCGTTGTTGATGCGATCGTCTCCCCACATCTTAACTAACCGTCAGTATTGCTGAAGAGCTTTCATGTGGGGTGACTTACGCCTTGTTTCGCACGCTGGTTCACGTCTTTTTCCAGCAAGAGCTGCTCGCTTCTCCACTGGTTGCTGCTGCCTGGAAGTTCACTCGCAATCTGATCAATAGGATTCATCGTGACTCCCTGGGGCCAATATTGGGCGGTTATATCCCACAGAGGCTTCATGCAGTGACAAAGGTCGGTTAGTTGCCCTAGCTTGTTCGGATCAGGATTTGGGCATTGTACGTTGTTACTGATAGCGTCCAAGAAGATGGGAATTAGCTGAAACTCGAGCACATGCTCGGTGTCGAATAGATTGACTGGGTCATGACCTAGTTGCCCGAAACCAAAATCTGTGCATACGGCACGGTTGGTGTAGCCGTATACAAGTGAATTAGGAACGTTCTGGTGTGGTCAGTACTCCAACGAGACTACTGCATGGGTATACTTACGGTATAGTAGCTAGAATCCGCTGCATCGTAGGCAGGAGCGTTGATAGTCATTCGCCCACCGCCCTTGCAGAACGTAATCGGCTTCTTCTTGGCTCGCTTTTCGAGGCTGTGTAAAGTGGAGGAATCCCCAGCGTCACGCGTGTCTAGCAACAGTGATCTCTTGTTCCAACCAGAAAGCTTCTCGCACTCCGATCCTGTATTGCTACTACCTGAATTGGCATTGGGACAGAACATGGCCTGGAGTGGTAAGTGGAATGGAGGACCCCAAGGCGTGGCCCGTTTGCTGAGGGTATGGAGAGACGAGTTGCTGGATACCACTTCGGTCGACGAGACGCCATCAAGCTCGTATCGGGGCCCGCTTGAGATGATTGTAACGCTTCGCTTGTCCGGACTCCCAGCTCTGAGCTCTGGACATGTTCCACCTTTGATAATGTCCACTTCTCCAGATCCAGGAAGCGGCCATGTATGTTTACCCCAGCCGAACATGGGCGGTGTGTCGACCTCAGCAACCAAGGATGCTCCAAGCTTAAGTCCGTAGGTCCAAGGACAGGTCTTGTCGGTGCTTTTACCAGCAGCAACTGAAAATCTGACGAAACCGTCCGCTGCAACCCCCGCTGTCGCTGCGCCGACCTTCCATTTGTCATCAAAACGGATTCCAAACTCAGCTATGGCCTTCAGATGAGCTTCAACCTTTCCTTCAGCTTTGACTGCAGCATAGAATTGGGGTTGCATAAGCCCATTGGGATTGCCGGTATCTCGAGTGTCCATGTCGTGATCGAGTTTGGGATCGAAATTGGAGTTGGGATCGGGAAGTGTTTGTGCAACATCCCAAGATGCGATATCGACTTTTGTCTCGACTTCGGCTGACAGCGTCAAGCCAGCATTGAATGATCCCGCGACTCTAACGGCTGGGCCGATAGTGACGATTCCTGGTACGCGGAATGTCGCTCCGGGAAACGGCAGCGTCACGATTGTACGATCGCCAGTGTCATACGAGACTTTCATCAGAGCCTCAAGTCGAAAAGTTGCCGTGATTTCACCATTGTTACTGAAAGTGAGATATGACTGGCTGAGATCCAACGGAGTGTCAGAGTCGAAGTTCAGGCGCGTTATGAGCGAGAATCCGAAACTCGTTGAGACCTTGATGTTGGTCATGGCTTGGACCAAGATGTGCGCGTGGAACTTGGCATTGCCGGAACCGCAGTCCACTTGGTCATCGACGATCTTGGCTATAATCTCCTCGTCGATGTCATGGGTGAACTGTTTCTTGATCTTGGGGCTCACGAGGTTTGTCAACCAGGCGACGAGATCTGAGCCGAACCAACGTTTGTGGAGTTCTTCGCGGCTCAGCCCTCCGAAGTGAAAGTCCTCTCTCCATTCCTCTTCGAGCCAGCGTTTATGGTTGCCGCCAACATCCGCGAGGGAGCGTTTGGCTTTTTTCTTGCTTGCAGCGGCAGCAACCACGTTATCCCAATAGTCATCCTTGTTGGAAAAGTCGACGCGCATTTGAGTGTTGCCGACATCACGCGGAACCCGCTTAAAATCGTAGTCAAATGTCAAGTCGTAGACGATGGGGTTGATGAGGCCGCGTTTGCGTAGTGCCGGTGGGATTGTTTGGTTCTTTGACGGCTCCATGGACTTGGCCACGGCATACCTTCCTGGGCCGCAGCCTGCAGGCATCTCGAGGATGGTACCCGGGACACCATGGCCTAGCCCGATCTTGTGGCAATTGCTATTTTCAGATGTGTCTGTGCAGAACATATGAATTGTCTGCTCTTCCTCACTAACATCGTCGTTGCAGCCGTAGAGCTCCCAGTGAGATCCGTCACGCTTGTCAAGCGACGTCTGAAGTTCTTCAGGAGAAGCGAGAACGACGAACTGGAAGGCTGCGTCGCTTGGATCTTCTCCCGTCTTGGCATTATTCGTTCCAAAGGTGTCATCGACTTTCAACGTGAAGTCCGTGTCAATGTTGTCGCCAGTAGGTGGATCTTTGAAAAGACGGCTCAGTGGCACTGGTAGGAATGGAGACTTTCCATGGGCGGGATCGCAGCAAAACACCCGGCTTCGCTCAAGGCGAGGAAAGCAGGACTCGCCGAGACCGTAAGGACTGTCTGTGAGTTGTACTGAATGTCCAATCGGGCAGTGATTGTCGAAACAAGATCCAGGTTTGCCGTACCATCTGCAGTTCTCAAAGTTCTTCGCGTCCTTCTTTGGGCAGCAATATCGCTTTTCAAGGTCCATATTGAGCTCGTCCAAAACCTTAACTAGAGCACTGCCGCGGAGAGGGGTGAGTTTAGCGATGTCGACGAGGGTATCAAGGAAGGTGCCTGAGAAAGTCTGGAGGCTCCTGTATTAGCATGTCGGTTGTGGGAGATGCTAATGTTTACTTACCATGGTCTCATCATCTCCGTTACAGCTTTTCCCTACACCAGCCCAGTAACACTTGTTCTCCTTTGCTCCCGGGGAATCGCAACAGTATACCTTATTACCATCTTCACAGTATTTACCGTCGCCCCATCTGTTGAGCTCCAATGTGACTTCATCGTCATGGCAGTGACCGTTGCAGGATGGAGCCTCCCCTCGCCATCTACATTGACTTGAGTCAGGGGCGCCGTCAAGAGGGCAGCACAAGAGACTGTTTTTCTCCTTAGAATGCCTTGTAACTGGTTTGGCACCCCCACAAGGCTGGTCAGTGATCTTGAAGAAGCCGGCCTTGCAGCTTCCTCCACAATCTGTGACGTAGCAGTCGGGAACGGTGGCATCTCCCCAGAAGGATGCATCGTCTGCTTCTTTTGCAAACGCAGCAATAGTCTTCGGGGCCAAAACAGCTTTTAGTGCATCGAGCTCATCTGTATCTTGGTCGATGGCCCAGATGAGCAATCCACCAAGGCCGAGTTTGTTGGCGAAGTCTATCTTCTGCTTGAACGTCTCCTGGTCATCGTATGAAACCCACTGATCCCGGTTCCAGGTAATGTACTTCACACCAGCCTCCTTGTCATGGTAGGGCTTCAGCTTATTGTTCTTAACGATTTCCTGTATCTCTTTGTAGGTGAGAGTTCCCGAATTCTGAGAGCAACCACCGGGAGCAGCGCCGCCCTTGAAGTTGCAGCCTGGCTTGTAACAGGTCGGATCCGAGAGCTGAAAACTTCTTCCGTAGAAGCCGAGCCCCATGTTCAGCTTGTCAGGCTTCACGCTGTTACGCCAAAACAGATCAAGCGCAAGCTTGATCTCTGTGAGATTTGTGTGAGCATAAACGTGGCTACCAATAGGATTGGTGCTGTCCCAGATACCGTGCAAGTCGTAGCTCATAACATTGATGAAGTCGACGTATTCGGCAGCCTTGAGATCAAACCATCTCAAGTACCAGAAGCTAGTTGGGACCGTGAATGAGACGGTATACTTATGTGGCTGCTTATTGTTCTCGTCGTTCAACTCTTTCAAGAACGTCACGAAATTCTTTCCGTCGTCTGGATGTCCGCCGCGGTCTGGTGCACCCGGGTACTCCCAGTCGAAGTCGACCCCGTCAAATCCATACTCGCGCAGGAATGCAAACAAATTCTTGATGAACTTTGCTCTGTTGCTTGAAGAACTGACCATGTTGCTGAATACAGGTTGAGTAGCAGTACCATTGTCATTGAAAGTCCATCCTCCAAGGGCAATCACCGTTTTCAGGCCACTATTTCTCTGCTTGACCTTGGTAAACTCGGTGAACAGATCGGGCGAGAGATTGTCCATAGGTACAACGTCGAAGTTGTTGGGTGTAATGTAACCGAATGAGAAGTAAAGATGTGTCAAAGCGCCAACAGGGATATCTCTAAAGTCCTACCATATTATTAGCGAGCAAGAAGTCCAAGCAGACTGAGATCTATTCACCATGCCCTGGCACTTGCGGTCGTGAGCCCAAGCTTCATAGTATCCAATAATACGGTTCTGGACGTTTCCATTGGATCCTCCAGATCCGGGCTGTTCACAGTTGCTCTGGCATCCAGGGTCTTCCTTTGTGCCCTTATCGCAGAATTCCTTGGTCATGCCACAGAAACTAGAAGCCGTAAGAGTTCAGTGATCCCACAATGGGGAACCCGCTTACCCGAACTTGGAGCAGCAAACGTTCAAAGGACACTTCCTATCCTTCGTATCGGAATTGATCCCGCACTCTGCTTTAGCGTTGCAATTTGACCAGCAGACATCGTTGGGGCTCTGGCCGTTGGTTCCGCAGTACTTCTCTCCATAATTGCAAACACCAGTTGCCTTAGGGCAGCAAGCCCCGTTTCGGCATGGTTTTGATTCTGAGCAGGTGTAATCATCGTCTGTTTGCATTTGCCGTTCAAACAACTGTGTGAAGTGTACTTGTGGATCGCATGCTAGAGCGCTGTCTTCTTCTCGTGTTTTCGCAGAATAATCGAAAGGACTGCGTGAGGTAAGTATCTGTTGACATATCGGTTCATCGGCTACATGATGAAGACATACGAGATCGAATTTCTGCATGTTTGGTTACTGGACGCTTCAGTAATTAATGAGTGTGTATTCGAATGCGGTAGAGAAAGAGCGACAGTAGAGAAAAGAGTCCAAGCCGCAACGACAGTAAAGGCCAGGCCCTGAGGGAACATGGTGAATGCGATGCACTAGATACTACGGATGGCTTGCCTGGAGGGGGCAGCTTGTATTAGGACATGGGGCCTCATCTTCACCGGCGACTCTCAAGGGCGATCCCAAAAATCCGCCATCCCAAAATGCTTGTGCCATATGGACTGTGGCATTGCCGCATGGTCTTACCTACAGCGGGGTACTTGGAAAGAGTGCAGCTACCAAGATCATCCGGGTAGGGGCTGTATAGTGCGACCAGTTGTAAGGTAACGAATAGTAACGATGCATATACCCCGCCCGGGTTGGGGGCTTAACGGGCAGGATGGTGCTTGCAGCAGGTTTTTTCGGGCGGATTCGAAGACGCCCAATCATCTAACCGCACACATTCGATCAGCCTAACTAGATGTGTGACACGACCCACCTAAGTAGGATTTGCTTACTATCGTTGCATTATTTCCCCTGAACGGCCAAAAGGGTTGAGGGGAGGCGTTAATCTACAGTCGCAATTTCCGTCATTCTATTAATAATGCGTTTTCTCAAATAAGCCCGGAGATTAGGATGCTAACAAGCCGAATGTTACACTTTCATCGATGTGGCTAGGATATCGTCATCGGATAACAGGTGTCCGTCGAATGAGCTTATTCTGCTCGTAGACTATTAAGTGTCCAATTGGCGTCATTATTGCGAAACGAGATCTATGCTGTGGGAAAAAGTGGCCAACAGAGTACAGTGCTAGTATTATGTAGTCGCCTACCAAAAGTGATTAGCTACTTTAGCAAGAGGCCTAGTCCACTATATAACGCTTTGATTTTAATTAATTATAACTTAATGAAATTACTACCTTTTTAATAGTTATAAAAGTAAATAAAACTGTACATAAAATGCTATCTAAGTTTACAATTAATATAATATAGTAATTTTACTTTTACAACGCAAGCGCTAATAAAATTTTAAGTTATCTTTGCATTTCTAAGTTATTAGTTACATATAACATACGCTAACCATTTATGCACCCTTAGCCTATCTATATAAAAGTTTGTGTATTAGCTAGCCTCTAAAGCTTAATAAAGACGCTAAAATGCATATAATTTACTACGTAGTAAATAATATGTTTATTACACTTTAAACTATTATAATACTATTAAAAACTTACAACTGCATCTACGCTAGTACAATAATAAGATACTGTATAAAATATACATGCTACACTTTTATCTATACTATAAGCTTTAGCTTTTACTTGTATCTAAAAAAAGAACTTTGGTTTACATACATTTATTCATATAATAAATATAGTACTATAGCTTATATAGCTGATTTTATTAAAGTAATATTTTAAGTTAAATTAGATACTAAACCTTTATACATATATTACTAGCATAAAAAAGTGTAGAAAAGTTAGTATCTAAAGGAAATATTCTAGTTTAGAAAGACTATAGTTTTTATATTTAGTTTAATTTTACTTAATTTTATATTAAAGCTGTATATTAACTAAAAATGTAAGTGTAAAAATACTAGTAATAGTGCTAGATTCTGTATAACATTAACATTCTATTGTATAGGTGTGATGACAAGCTCTGTCTTCACTATTGTGTAGCACAAAAGGCTTAATAGGATATGTTAGCTATATTCCACAAGAATACTAAGGTGAGAAGACGGAAGGGTTAGGGGCTGGCGGCCTTAAGTAGCCAGGCGTCGGCCCGGCAGAACCCATCTCCGAGCCGCGCTAGTCGCAGGCAGTGAGCTGACCTATGTACATAGATCCTAGTATAATGTGACTAACTAGCCACGAATAGTGCAGGGCCGTCACAATAGGCAGAGTATCGAGAAACACGGCACTAGTATATAAATATAAAATAAGGCTGTTATTTATATTATATCACATGCCTAATAGTGTATAAATGAAAGATTATTCTATTCTTTTATTAACTTTTATAAAGTTTAAATTTAAACTTAAATAAAACCTTTTATACATGATAAAGCATTTTATTTTAAAGTAATAAGAATATATTAACGTATTTTACAAGCAAGCAGGCAATAAAAGTAAACAGTCTACTTTAATAATATAGTTATACTTAAATTACGTTTACTTTATAACATCTGTAATTAATTAAATAATTAAAAATAATTATCTATAAGATTAATTTTATAAATAGTACAAGTTCTAACTTAGTAACCTTGCTAGCAGTATCAGCTACAGCATTGTTAACTTTATAATGTTGTAGCTAATTCTACGCTATTCTAGCCTATTTCTTTTATATCTTGCTTATTATTTAATAGCTAACGTAAATCTGCGTTATTTATAAATATAAAAAAGCTTGCCTATTTTAAATCTAACATTCTTTTTAGGCTTTATAGCATAATGTAGCTTTATTTAATGTTTTAAGTGTTAACGTACCTAACAGGTTGGCCGGCTACACAGGTTGGCTGGCCACTTTTGCTAAGCCTCTACCACACTCTACCTATCTACATAATGCCTTAACAACAACACTAGATTAAATCTTCTAAAGAACATTAAATATAGCTTACTTTTTAAGCTTTTAAATAAAACTTAAAACTCTTTTTATAACATGCTGTAGCTATTTATAATGTTTTTTACACAACACTAAGTAATTAACACACTAGATAACCTTTATAAGCAGAATACTAGCTTAAATTAAAAAATTTAACTAAGCTTAAAAAAAAGGTAGTTATTAAGTACATACTTAAGCTTATTACGCGCAGATTTCCTTTTAGGCTTACAGCTGTAGCTAATATAGCTAATTCCTTACGCGCAGAGCATAATCTAGGCTAAGTTAGCTTAAACTAGCCTAGTATGTAAGTTAAGCACTGCTCTAAGTTTATAATAAAGTTTAATTATAAGAATAATTATAAAAAAGTGCTTTATAAGAATCTAGACCTTATTTAGAGCTAGTTTTACCTAGTAGCTAACATAAAAGCTAAGTATAGTATCTAGAATAAAGACATGTATAACTTTAATAAGTTAGGCTTTATAATAGGCTAGATATTAACTAGAGCAGTTATTATAGCTTTAAAAAGATAAAAATAGCTAAAAGTAATATAGTAAAGTAATAGAAAGTAGATAATAGTTATTTAAGGCATTAACATAATAAAGTAAGCTATTTTACTTTTTATTATTTTTAAGAGCTGCTATTACCTCTTTGCCTAGTATAAAAAGAAGAATTTACCTTAGAACTAGGTTATTATAGTCTCTAAAAACAGCTAGATAATAAATAAGCTTAAGCTGCAGTAGTTAAAGCACTTTAATAAGTATATAAAAAAAAAGTTATAGGTGCTTATTAGCTTTTTATTATTAATAGCTATAAAAGCTATAACTTACTTAATTTCTAGTAGTACTATAAAAAAAATAAAATTATTACTATTTATATACTTTTACACTTATTACACTTTCTACAGCCTTTTAATATAGGTTGTTTTGCTCTTTTTAAAAAGGTATATAGGCGTTAAGCTAAAGATCTTATGTATAACTAAATTACTTATATTATAAAACTTAAGTTTCTACTATGCTTTATACACACCTATAATGCAGTAATTGCTTCTAGTAATATCTAAAAAGGGTTTTAAGGCGCTAGTTTAGTCTTATTTAACCTAGAATAGGTTAAAATAGCCTTTAATGTCTAGTTATGTACTTTATTACTACTACTACCTATTAATAACAAGCTTTAATAGTTATAAACTTTAAATAATACTCTTAAATTTAGGTTATAATTAATACTTATAAAGGTAAAAATTTAAAGGCATGTAAATAGCTTACTAATGTCTATAGTAAAGACTTTTAAGAAAGTCTTAAAAGAGGCAGCAATTATTACGCATAAGCTAGTGTTAGTGTAAAAGAAGATTAACGTACCTAACGGGTTGGCCGGCCACACGGGTTGGCCGGCCACTTTTGCCAAGCCCCTACTAAAACCACCCTATTCTCTCGCAAAACAGCCTACTTTAGCCCTGTATAAAGTAATACAACATAAGATATTATTTAGAGTCTACTTCTACTACTTACTTACATGTACAGTCGCCTACCAAAAGTCATTAGCCACTCAACAATCCGAGCTCTGCAGGGGTATAGTCAGCCTATTTAGGAAAGAGGTTACTCAACTAATTGCTACCTAAATTAAAAGATTTTTAGTTCTATAAGAAGCCTGTGTTAAGGCCTATCTTCTAGCGTTATAGTTAATTAATAGTAAGTTAACCTGCCTTTATTTTAGATAACTTCCTTTATGCGCTTTAACTAGCTTAGGATACTCTTTCTATAATCAGCTAGTGTAATCTTTGCCTATTCCTCTTTAAGGATATCTACTATCTGCTTATAAGTAGTAATATATTCTTGTTGCTTTAAAATGTAGAGCTTTATAATCTGCTAAAGGTTCTTAATTAGGTTTAAATTAGGACTTTATAGAAGCTAATCTATCTGTATTATGCCATAGTTGTCTATATACTTTTAGGTAGCCTTTGCAGTATAAATAGGGGCTCCATCCTGCATCTATATGCTAATACCGCGTTTCTCTGTAAGCTGCTTATAGAATAGGATGCTAACATCATGTAGAATCTAGCAGTATTTGCTAGCATTGTTCTGCTTGCCTTTCTAGTTAATAAACAGCTCTAATTTAAAATTAAGAGAGATTACACTAAATACAGAGACTGTAGTCCTTCTAGACTTAAATGTAGGCTTTAGGTACTAACTCTTGTACGCTTTTCTATGCTGCTAACGTACATATGGAGGTCTAGTGTCTAAGCTAACTTTAAATGTTGCTTTATTATAATAGGCTACGCAAGCCACGTCACTGCTCTTGTTATATTAATAGATTTAAGTAAAGTAGAGTTGTTTTTCTTTGTGTACAGCTAAGAGCTAAGGCTTGTGACGCAGACAGAAGGCGTAGTACTTATGTTTTGCAAGGTATCTCCTTACAGTACTAGCATAGATGCAGCAGTGGGTCTTAGACAGTGTCGCAATAGTCTAGAGCGTAGCAAAGGGATTATTTGCTGCCTAGCAAATTAAATGCCTCTTAGCGCGTTTGTTAAGCTTTAGAGGCTAGCCTGTACGCAGGGCTTTTGTATAGATAGGCTGGGGCTGCT